GATGGATGGATGGATGGATGGATGGATATATCATCCTGTACAGCAGTGTGCTTTTTAGAATCATTTAAAACAACTGTGCAGGGGTTTCAAACTTCAGTTGTGGGGGGCCGGTATTCTGCAACTTTTGGAAGCATCTTTGCTTCGACACACCTGACACCTTCGGTCCATTTACCATCACGCTAATCCCACCTGGGGTCCGAGGGTTGCTGGTACCTATCTCCAGCTGTCTGTGGGCGAGAGGCGGAGACCACCCTGGACAGTTCGCCAGTCCATTTCAGGACACAAAAACAAACAACCATTCACACTTAAGGAGAATTTAGAGAAGCCATTTAACCTCACAGTCATGTTTTTGGACTGTGGGAGGAAGCTGGAGTACCCGGAGAGAACCTAGGCATGCTCAGGGAGAACATGCTAACACCATGCAGAAATACCCCGGGCCTGGAGTCGAACCCAGAACCTTGTTGCTGCACGATAGGAGGCACGATAGGAGCGCTAACCACTGCTCCATTGTGCAGCCCCACCTGACTCCAATATAAGCTTTTTAGCAGAGCTATAGTAGTTTGTCCATTTTTTCAGGCATGTAGGGAAAGCAACACATCTAAAAGCTAAAGGACCCAGCCCTCCCCGATTTGAATTTGAGACCACTGGTTTATAGCATGAGGATTATTCTCGTCTGCCTGCGTTGGTCTTGAATACTTGTCAGTCACATGCTGGCAGCTTAAAAATAATACAGCAAAAAAAAAAACTCCTGTTTTGATGGAAGTTCAAACTTTACACTCTTTAAGAATTTGATTAGCGTACCTCAGTGAGGGAGGCAAAGCAAGACAATTTTAAGTGCAGCCAGAAAGAAAAACAGATGAAAAGTCTTTGAGATTAAGGTCGATAACATATTGAGAGAAGTGAAGAGGCAGCAGCAACATTCTACCTTCATAATGAACTGAGCTCTTTTTAAAAAAGAAAACTTCAGAAGTCTTCAACATTGGGTGCAGAAACAGCACTCCAAACACAAACATCCCTGTGATCTGTCAGCACATCAACCGCCTGCAAAATAATTTCAATAATGGCCCTGTTCCATTTGTGACAAATCAAAACTTATTTTGTCAGTCATTTTTACTTTTGCATAGCCTGTCTTTTACTAAAAAGCAAGACAAATACCCACCTTGTTCACCCAAATTTCAAGAAATGACAGGTGCTGCACATGGGGTGCGTCAGATTAGAGACTTTTGTCAGTGAGTAAAGTCAAAGCTGCCTGAAAACAGATAATTATCTTAGACAAGAGGGTGGGAAGTAATTCTCTGAAACAAAATGTCAAGGAACAATGGCTCCTTTTTGCACTGCCACTTCTAGAAATCACACAAAAGCCACAGATTTATTGATCACTTAGTTGAGCGAAAGCATTTAGCTTACAAAATGTATAGCTGCAGAACATTTGTAGTTCTAGCAGCAGGACCTAACCAAGCATTTTTGCCTTATTTGAACAAGCAATTGAAGTGAGACACAGTTAATGTTGCCTTCAAGGTCTACCTACTTGTGTTACTAGATGTAAATGAATGCCATTGCTAAATCAATTTGAGTGTTTTTTGGAGAACTATAGGTCGGAGCCAATCTTTATAAGAGGAAAATGTTTTGTAGACATTTTAGGCTGACATTCTGACCCACTTCACTGACATTCATCAGTCTGGGAAAGTTACAAAGAAATTTCTAAGGCTTTGGGACTCTAGTGAACCATAGTGTGAACCATTAACACAAACAAAGCATGAAAAGTGTTTCATTTTCCCAGGAGGAGACCGCCTGCCTACAATGCATCCCAAAAGTAATCACAGCACTGAACTTTTTCCATGCTGATCAGAATTTCTTTTACTGCCATGTTTTATTTTGTTTTATGCACATTTTTTTGTTATTATGACTCTTCTTTTGAAAGGCTTCTTTAGGAAGCTTTATTATGCACTCTACTTAAAAACAATCAGTAAATCCCCTGGACCAGATGGCTTCCCTGCATTTCAGCCTGTTCTCTCTCCAATTTTCCAAAGACTTATAATTGAAATAAAAGGAAAGTCAAGACTTCGTATTTCGAGAATAAAGTTGTAACATTAAGAGAATAGAGTTAACATTATGAGAATAAAGTCGCAACATATGAGAATATAGTCATAAAATTACAATAGAGTCATAGAATTACGAGAATAAAGTCATAACATTACAAAAATAAAGTCATAAAATTAAGAGAATAAAGTAATAAAATTACGAGAATAAAGTCGTAACATTATGAGAATAAAGTCATAAAATTACAAGAATAGAGTCATAACATTACGAAAATAAAGTCACAAAATTAAGAGAATAAAGTAATAAAATTACGAGAATAAAGTCGTAACATTATGAGAATAAAGTCATAAAATTACAAGAATAGAGTCATAACATTACGAAAATAAAGTCACAAAATTAAGAGAATAAAGTAATAAAATTACGAGAATAAAGTCGTAACATTATGAGAATAAAGTCATAAAATTACAAGAATAAAGTCATAACATTACGAAAATAAAGTCACAAAATTAAGAGAATAAAGTAATAAAATTACGAGAATAAAGTCGTAACATTATGAGAATAAAGT